ACAGCAGAGCCTGGTCATATCCTAGATCAGGGCTTGGGTCAGGTCCTCGATCAGATCCTGATCAGATCCTAGATCGGGTCCTGTATCAGATCCAGATCAAGGTCCCAATCAACTCAGGTTTTAGGTCAGGGGTTGCCAAGTCTGGTCCCCGAGAGTCCCGATCTAGCCTGTTTTAAATGTCTCTATCAGATCCAGATCAAAGTCCCAATCAACTCATGTTTTAGGTCAGGGGTAGCCAAGTCTGGTCCCCGAGAGTCCCGATCTAGCCTGTTTTAAATGTCGCCCTCTTCCAACACACCTGATTGAAATAGCGGAATCGTTGTCAGGCTTCTCAGAGCTTGTTGATGAGCGGATCACTTGAATCGGGTGTGTCGGGAACAGGGAGACTTCTAAAACAGGCTGGATAGGTGCTCTCAAGTACCAGACTTTGATGTAGAGGCTTTAAAAACTCGCGTATCACAAATGAGGTATTCAGCCTTTTAGGGAGGATGAGAGGGAAAACATTCCGATCCTGATGCCAGTGAAAATGCAGAGACTGTCATCCTTTTTGATAAATGACGTGTGGAGTGATTAGTTCAAGCACCTGAAGGGAGAGTCACACGGCACTACTGAACGGGAATCCTGCCATGTATTTGGTTGGCAAGTCATGAATTAAAAAGCAAGAACCGGGAGATAATGACGTGCCACTGAAGAAAAACCCTGCCTCAAAGGATACGGAGCGTCCAAATGTTGCTGTTGCTGCGGGTGTTTGAGTGACCTCACTCGACTTTGAAGGCCAACGCTTCCCTCAACATTCCAACAGTCACTTCAGCGCCTGGAAGGATGTTCTCCAATCTTGTCATCCAAGTGTTGGGACAACAGAGATCAGCCTTCACCTGAATGTTTGTGCGTGCTGTTTCCATGGTGCTGATAGGACGCCAACAATGCTGCAATCTTTGATTAGGGCACCACGCTTGTTGCTCTCTTCATCTCGTCCTCCTTGCTGTCTACTTTTCCAAGTCAGACACGATGATTCAGTACCACTTATAATCACCCGCATCATGTTTCAGATCAAGTCCGATACCAAGTTCTGCAGTCGGTATTGAATTGGATGTAGGATCACTTCCTTAATGAACTCAATCAAGTCTCGGCTCTGGTTCCAAACATCATGTCCGATCAAGTCCGATACCAAGTTCTGGAGTCGGTATTGAATTGGATGTAGGATCACTTCGTTAATGAACTCAATCAAGTCTCGGCTCTGGTTCCAAAGCTGATCCTGGAAGAAATCTTGCAACGTGTCTTAGATCAGGTCACGGGAAAGGTCTTGGATTCGGCTCCATATCAAGATCGGTATCAGGTTTTACATCAGGGCTTGAATCAGGTCCTGGATTTTTTTTACCTTGAAACAGGTCGAGGATCAGGTTCTGGTCCTTGAACAGCTCTTTTATCAAGTCTAATTCAAGTGTCGGGTTGAGATCTTAGCATTGTGTTAGCATAGCTGCTAATCACGCATGTTTGCTGGCCTCTGACTCAGCTCGCACAGCCAATGTGTCTTCGCTTTTGGTAAAAAACACAAACTAATGAGGAGATTTTGACAAGTGTCCATTTGAAACTCAATCGTGTGTGTGCGTGTGTGTGTGAAGGTATCACATGTTTGGAGAAGATGTCTACCGTCTTCAAGTGTTGCTGCTCGGTGCGTCTCCAGGCGATGTCGGCACAGTGGTGTTCCACAGGGACGGTAACTACGGCGACAACTGGAATTACGGACAAGTGCTCCTCAGCTCCGCCACTGACTCACATGTGAGTCCAGGTCTGCGGCGCAAACTGATTCCAAGCAGGTTACCTACCGACTGATCTCATACGACCTTCTATCCGATTTCAAGCCGTTTTGAACCAGACAAAATTGAAATGGATTTAAAGCGGGCGCTTTAAAAAAGATTGATTGACTGATTTCAATCTCATGTCACTGCTTTGAAATGAGTCTCCTCTCGATGTTGAACTGCTTTAAATCTGTTTGAGAGCTTGAGGAGGTTTCGACTTGATTCCAGACATGATCACATTGAGACTTGAAACTTGCTTGAATTCCAACTGGATTAAACCTCGTTGATTAGGATGACTTCAAATATTTCTTTGACCCGTATTTCGGACTGATTTGCCAAAGACTTGAAAGGGCTTCAAGTATGATTCCAGGCTGTTGGAAAACCATCGATTTCCAATGGATTTCAGTCTTCCTCAGACACGGTTTTCACTCCAAAGCCGATTTCAAGCGGCCCGAATCCCGATCCGCGCCTGGTTTCGGACCGACGCCAGTCTGCTGTGCGCAGGTCGTGTTCGAAGCGCTGAAGCGAGGCGGGATGAGGAATGACATCGCGTTGGATGACATCACGTTGACGTCCCAGCCCTGCGGCCCCGCCCCGCCCGAACCCACCTTAGTGCCCACTCCGACCGCGGCGCCCACCATACCGGGTGAGCTCGGCGCTCCCGGGCCAGAATCGGACCGCGACAACGCCTGAACTGAAACCTGACCGTGCCCTCTCTTGCCTGCTTGGCCAGCTGACTGCGGCGGTCCTTTCGACGTGTGGGAGCCAAACTCCACCTTCAGCTCGCCAAATTACCCGCACTCCTACGGGAACAGAGCTCGCTGTGAGAGCCGCCGAGGGAATGGCTCCCTATGATGGGAGGAGCCTAATCCAGGCCTACAATTCACGGGCGAAAGGGAGATCGGATCGCCCATTATCCTTTGCTCCCGCAGGTGTGTGGACGCTCCGCGCTATGCCGGGTCGAAACATCCAAGTCCACTTCCTGGACTTGGATGTGGAAGAAAACTACGACATCGTGGAAGTGCGCGACGGGGCGGGGCCCAACTCCACTTTACTGGGTGAGCCGCGTGTCATATCATCATTGCGGGGGGTGGGGGGGGGGGTCACGGTGTACGAGGAGCGAGGTCTTCGGGCCTCGGAGTTTTCCTCCCAAAACCCACAGAACACGTTAGCCTCATAGAACACCGAGCGATTGTCCATGAGCGTGAATGCTTGTCTGTCCATATGCGCCCCGGGAGTGACTGGCAGTCCAGGGCGTACCGCGCTCCTCGCCCGAAGCCGGCCGCCTCGGGCCATCCCAATGATGAGAGGCAGAGGGACGCACGGCTCATTTCGGAATCTGTCTTGTCGACTCGCCTCTCACAGCCGTTCTGACCGGCAGCGGCGGCCCCGCCCATGACTTGTTTTCAACGAGCGATCGGGTGACGGTCTGGTTCTTCACGGACAGCTCGGGTAGCGGACGGGGCTTCAAAGCCAACTTCACCTCCGGGGTCGGCTTAGGGTCTCCAGGTGAGGTCTGCTGAACTCAACCGACAGCCGCCATCAGGTTGACGGCTCTTCGCTCTTTGTGTTCTTTTGTTCCCAAACCAGAGCCGTGCCCTGCCGACCAGTTCCAGTGCGGAACGGGCGGTTGCGTCCATGTGAAGCGTCAGTGCGATGCAAGGGTTGACTGCGGCGACGCTTCAGATGAAGCGAACTGTGGTGAGCCTTGCGCGCAAGGCCATTTGGTCACGTTGAGCCTACCAAGTACTTAGCGCGGACGTGCGTGCTCAGTTGTGTTGCAGGCCAACACTTCCAGCCGTCTGCAGTTTCAGGTCGCCTCCTCTTGGTTTACCGTGTGCGCCGACACCTGGACCCCGCGCCTGTCTCGCTTCACCTGCCGGTACTTGGGACACAGGTAGACTCCTTCAGTACCTGGGATACATACGGGTTGGCACCTTGTAAGACCTGAGCAGTCAGTGGCCGGGGCGCAAGTTGACTCTCTCGTTACCAAAGAGACACAAATGGGATACGGGTAGACTCCTCCCAAGACGCGTCGGACCGCTCGGTTCCTGCGAAACACGCGGACAACTTGAAAAAGGTCAGCTCCTGGGATACAGGTAGACTGCTTCAGAAGCGTGGAAAGAGCTAGACTGTTTGTTGGAACGACCTGACCTGCCAATTGTCCATTTGTATGAGCTTACCATCCAGAGTGTCCCGTGGATACCGACCACTGCACTTCTGCGTCTTGGATGTGGGTAGAGTAGGCGTAGTAGGGGGGATACAGATCAAGTCCCGCATACTTCAGTCACTGGGAGGCAGGTAGAACAAGTGGCAAACCTGCCCGATCGCTACCTGGGATACAGGTAGACCGACCCTAGGTCCCGACCCTTTCGGTCACGAGGATACGGCTTACAGGTCCAACACTTCGTGGACCGGACAAGTTAACTACTTTTAGGACCGGGCCAGTCGATCGCTGCAAGACAGCTAAACATCTCGTCAGACCCGGCCGGCCCCACGCGGCCTGGCCAACGGCGAGACCGACTGCGGGGCCCGATTTGTCTGTACAAATGCCACAAATTGTTGACTCGGGGGGGGTCTTGTCGCTCATTGTCATTGTCCAGGTCTGGGGTGGTGACTCTGATGCCCGCCGTGCCGGGAGATTCACCTTTCACCAGTGTCAAAGTCACCAGTAATGGAAGTCTGGAAACAAGCGTGAGGTCACTGAGCGCAAACACTTGGCGGAGTTTCTCTTTGGAGAACGCGCGAAGGGTCGACGCGATGCTCAACGGAGGGCTGCGGCCGCTGTTTGTTTCTTTTTCAGTGACGGTTGTCCTGGCCACCGCGTGGTTTCCCTCCGGTGTAACAACCGGCGTGAGTATCTGCACTCTTCGTGTCTCAGTGATGAAGTCACCGCCTTACACGAGTTGCCTTCATCTTTCAGCGTGCGGCCTTCGATTAGCCGCCAATGACACCGTTGACCAATCGGCAGCCAGAGACGGTAAGAGCAGGAAACCGCAGTGAACCGTTCGCAAATTCACCGATGACGTATTTGGCTTTATTTTTTCTGGAGAACCGAATAAGCTTTTCGCTTGGGGGTATTTTTTATGAGTGTAACTAGTTGTGGTTCCCTTGGTTCACTGTATTTGCCTCAAGATTGAGCTTTTGCTTATTTTTTTTCCCCTCCCAAATCAGGGAAGGTCAGAGTGGTGGGCGGGTCGGACGCCGCCAAAGGGGCGTGGCCCTGGATGGCGTCGCTCTATTGGAACGGTCGGCACGTGTGCGGCGCTGCGCTGCTCGGTCGGCGTTGGCTGCTGACCGCCGCCCACTGTGTCTACGGGTGAGACGGCCCGGCCGACGATGGAGACCTTTGGCCGTTTGACAAGGTTGATGACACGCCGCGTCTTTGACAGGAAGGACCGCCCCCTGAGCCGCTGGTCGGCCAAGTTGGGTCTCAGGGCTCAGAGTCACGCCGGTGACGCGCACTCGTTCCAAATTGATGCCGTGCTGGTCAACCCGCACTACAACAGACTCACCAAACAGGCTGACGTGGCCATGATGCGTCTCGGCGCGCCCGCCAACTTCACCGGTATTACGGCACACACGTACACTTATCGACTTCCTGTTGCCGTGATCGTCGCGAGGAAGTCAAACTTTGTTTGACTTCGTATTCCTGATCCTGCGACAACACTGCGAACATTGACTTCCTGTTCCTGTGATTGTCGTAAGGAAGTAGAATTCCTACGACGTAGCTTGTCGACTTTCAGTCGTGAGCAAGTTGACGTCGGTTTCCTGTGATAGTTGTGGAGAAGTGGACCGAGCTGTTCATCGAAATGAACGGATCTCATGCACGCTCTCAACGTGTGTGTGTGTGTGTGTGTGTGTGTGTGTGTGTGTGTGTGTGTGCGTGTGCGCGCACATCAGATTTGATCCAGCCAGTGTGTCTACCTGAAAATGGTGTGTGTGTGCGTGTGTGTGTGTGTGTGTGCGTGTGCACGTGTGCGCACATCAGATTTGATCCAGCCAGTGTGTCTACCTGAAAATGGCCAAGAGTTCACAGCTGGAAGGAAATGTTGGATTGCTGGATGGGGACGACAGGCCGAGGACGGTCAGTCAACTGTCCATCTCTCCACCTGTTTCCCTCCCTGTTCATCTGCATGTGTGCGTGTGTGTGCGTGCAGGTTCTCTTCCAGACATTCTGCAGGAGGCCAAGATCCCCCTGGTGGACCGGGTCTCGTGCCAACATGCCTTGGCGGAGTACAGCATCACGTCCAGCATGCTGTGCGCAGGGTTTCCGGAAGGCGGAGTCGACTCCTGTCAGGTGATCAGCGTGGGGGTCCTTGGGTCGGATGTCCGCAAGGGAGTTGAAAGTTCACCGCGTGACTTTTTCACACAGGGCGACTCTGGCGGCCCACTCATGTGTGAGGAGGAGGAGGGACGCTGGACCCTGGCCGGTCAGTTTCTCGTCAGCGCTCGCGTTCCACAACGCGCACTCGGCAAACCGCTTCTCGTGTGATCGGTCGCCGACAGGTGTCACGTCCTTCGGGATCGGTTGCGGTCGGCCCGGGCGGCCGGGCGTCTACGCCAGAGTCTCGGCCTTCGTCGCCTGGATCGCCGAAACGCGGCGCTCCTCGTCATTGCCGTGATCATCCACCTCCTCTTCCTCCCTTTCTTCTCGTCCTTTCTCCTCCTCCTCTACGTCGAGGTCCTCCTCGTTCCTTTTCTTCCTCTTCTTCTATTTTCTCTTCCTTCCTTCCTTCCTTCCTTCCTTCCGCATTTTCCTCTCGCCCCTTGACTTCCTGTCCTTCCTCTTCCTCTTGATCTTCCATTTCCTCCTGCTCCTCGTCCTCCTCCCGCTCCCCGCGGAGGCCGTGACGACCGATGACATCCCCCGACTTTCGGCCGCTCTGATTGGCTGCAGTGCAGAATCCATGTGCACAAAGTTATTTTATCACGTGACGGTTTTCTTTTCTCGCCGACTTGGACTGTGTCGCTGGAGCAACACACACACACACACACAGAACAGTGTGTGGGTGGAGTCAAGAGTCGGGTGGACTTGTCTCTTGCGTGAGTACGCGCGCACGCCCGCCCGCACGCACAGTGAGAGTCAGTCGCGGGGACATGAAGGCATGAAGAGGATATGAGCGCATGAAGAGGCCAACGCGTGAAGACATGAAGACATGGACTTGCTAGTGTGCGCGGTGTTCATTGCATTTGTGCGCGTCTCTGCCGTCAGCAGCCGCAGCGCAGGTAACCGCAACTCTTCCAAGTTGTCCGTCGAAAATTTGCCATCGATTGAACGGGACTCCCGCATTGGACGTGTCATCCGAGTAGAAATGATTGGCTGAATCGTGGCGGATCTGATACAAGATAACATGACGTAGAGTAGAAAGACTCTGGGCTGACGTCATTCATTCATCCGCAGTGCAAGCATGTTCAATGGATTTGGATGATTGTGTCATAGAAAGTTTGGTCAAGCTGTAAAAATGTGTGATGGGGTGCGCATGTGTGTTCAATCTTCCTCTCACTTTAGCCTGCTTGAAGTTAAAGTCTGACAAGATGCCAGAGGACATTTTGTTATCATTTTTGGGGTTTTGTTTTTGGTGCGGTGGGGAGGAGCCGTACTGCACACTTTTGCGGGAGCTAGCTTGAGGTTTCCTTGCAAACCTTAAAGACGACGAGAGATGAGATGGAATTATAGGACAGTATCCTCACGCGTGGAGTGGCGAGACGGAAGGCATCTTGCCCAGGATTTGGTGAAATCACAATTCTCATTTTGCTGCGTCGCTTAAGTTTCGACGCAACAACCCGAGACTCCAGAAATAAAAAAAAGTGGCGCCGTCGATCTTCTCTAATAAGAATCGCCGTCGCGTTCCAACAAGTTTCCATGCCGCAAATCATGCGCTGGAAGGCCCTGCCTGTGACAGCTGGAAAAGTGATCCATGGGGTGATTGATTGTGTTTTGTCATCGGGATGGATCGCGTTGCTTGCTCATTTTTAAAAAGTCACCATTGGTTATTTATGTGCTGGATTAGGTTTCTCATTAAAAACCAAAAGATCATAGACGAATGAGGTGCGGGATTGTGTTTCTCGTTTTTAAGGTCGTGACCGATCGGTGAGGTAACGGGATGTTTTTGTCATTCGTAAAAAAAACTTCACGATGGGTCAATTTGGCGAAGGATTGCCTTTCGCATTCTCAAAAGTCGTCATCGCTCAGTCGGGTGAAGGATTGTCTTTGTCCTTTTTGAAAAAATGATCAGTCAGTGAGGTGATGGATTGCCTTTCTCAGATTCGCTCCATGAAGTTTTGTCCAAGTTCAGCGTGGTTCGTCCCATCCGAACCGACTCGCGTGGCCGTTTCCTGTCGGCGGCGGTCTCCCCCCACTCGCCGCACCGTGGCAAACGGCACGCCCCCTGGAGCGAGACGTCGTGGACGTCCGAGTCGGAGGTCTTCTACAACGTGACGGTGTTTGGACGGGAGCTGCACCTGCGGCTGCGTCCAAACCGCCGCCTGGTGGCCCCTCGCGCCACCGTGGACTGGTGGGAGGAGTCGGGACTTCGGCGCTCGGAGCCAATCGGAGACGCCGGTTGCTTCTATGCGGGGGGCGTGTCCGACATGGAGGACGCGGCCGTCGCCCTGAGCAACTGCGACGGACTGGTGGGTGGAGCCTCTCACAAACGCCGCCGGTCGTGCTAACCGCGCGCTCGTTAGCAAACGTATTCCCATCGCTGACGTTCTGTTACTCAACCGTGAGCGAGTTAGTGCTCAAATACCGGGTGAGGGCTTGTGAGAAGTACACGCTTATGTTACTGACACATTTCTACCTGTGCGTACAAAGTCGACAAGAAAACTATCAAGTATAAGGTCGGGTACGATTGTCAGATGGCGTACTATTGAGTAGTATGGTGAAAAGTTCAGCTTCGTGTCACGGAGTGTTAAGTAGTATGAAGTGAAGTCGGAGAGTCGAACGTACGGAAATAAAAAGGGTAAAATGCAGTTAGTTTGTGGTACAGAAGAAAAAGAACGAAGATTGCCGTGTCGTACAAAGTCCAAAGTAGTCGTGTATTGTGAAGAGGCAAAGTCGGAGATGGTATCGCATGACGTTTTCAGTGAATGGGACCGATCGTTTTTTGTTGTTGTCGTTTGTTCCTCGTCAGTCTGTTGATGTCGGACACAAACTTAGCGAGCCGCTGTAAAAAACTGCGCTGAGTAAAACACCTTAGCGTGAGATCGTCAGACATGGTCCAACTGGACAGTGACGGACAGAAGAAGGAAATGCTCTTCCGCTCCATGGCGGAAGGTTCAATGTAGCCGTGACCGCACCCGTTCCCATTCGGACAAGAGAATAATCATCGCGGGTCCGAGCGCCCGGGCCCAGATGACACACCAAGTACGTCTGTGAGAAAATTGAGACGAGATCATCGGTGCTTCGGTCGGCGGTGGCCTTCGTTGCACGCTATTGTGCGCGTTCCTCGGCTGGGAAACGAGGGAGTCAAAATGTCAGATCGCTGTAAGATGTGTGGAACGAGAGAGGAGAGGAGAGAGGGCGCGGGCTGTAAAAAACAGCAGCCACGTGCACACGGGCCGCGCTGGCTGTGCGCCGCTGAGGCTTTTTCAACGTCTGACTGCTCCGAACGCAGCCGTGATGGGATCCAGATGTCGTGGAAAGATGAGACTTGTTGAAAGGAATGAGCTGCGCAAACACTCGCACGGGAAGGACTTCTCTCTTCACACGGACTCACGCCCCCTCTTATTTTGAAAGGCGACTGATTGGCAAGCTTCCCGTTGGTCCCGACGCCAGGACCATCCTCTTCCGTTCCGTTGCGTTCTGTTGAGTTGGCCACCAACCGCAATGGCTCATCCGCCGCAGCTGCTCTCGATTCTTTCTCGACCCTCGGCGGATCCGCAGTAAATCTTGCGGACACCACCGGCAGACACAGAGTGGCTCTTTGTTCGGCTTTTTGTAGATGGCGAGTCGATATTTGTTCGATCCTCCACAAACACATCGACGGGAGACTTTCGGGAAAGGCTCCGTAGAGCGTCAGCGGGTCCGCGGTAGCATTTATGGAGATGACAGGTTGGTCCTCAGTTGACCTTCTGGAGCTCTTCAGTCACTGATCTTGGTCAGTGGATATTCGGTCGATTTTCGGTGAACCATCAGTAGATCTTTAGGAGAGCTTCAGTAAAACGCCGGTCGCTAACCGATACGATCCCGTCAATGCCCTTTCCCAGCGAAAATGTAGACAGTCAGTCAGTCGTCAATAGGTCTACATTAAATGGCCTTCGACCTGGTAGATTCCCGGTAGAAGACTAAGGTCGTGTACATGTGGGCAGGCTGGGATGATCCGAACGGCTGAGGAGGACTTTTTCATTGAGCCCCTGCGTCGCTCGGGGCTGGGAGGCCAAGGTGAAGATGAAGATGACGAAGGTGGACGACCACACATTGTTTACCCATCGTCCGCCATCATCAAGTCCAGACAACGGGCGGTCAACAAAACCGCTGACTTTCTGCGAGGTGGGAAGAATTCTTTTTCCTCGACGTCCGGTCGCACGATGACTGATCTGTTGGGACTCACCCGAGATTTTGACTGTCTCTTCAGAGCCTCTCTCGGGTTCCTCGGATCCGCTGACGTCCGAGTCCGCCTCGGGCCGGCGGCGGCGCTACATTGAAGAGGCGGATATGTTCAACATCGAGGTAAGTAAAGGAAGTCGCGTGTTCCCCTTCGCGGCCAGTCACGGCGCTCATCGCCCTGCCTCCGCAGGTCCTGCTCGCCGTGGATTATTCCGTACTTCTTTTCTACGGACAAGAACACGTCCAGAAATATCTGCTCACCTTTATGAACATCGTAAGTGGACGCGCCACAGGTGGGACTAAGTCACGTGTGCGCGAGTCATAAGAATGTCCCCTGTCCTAACCTTCAACTTTCGAGAAAGTCGCAGCCGTCGCGACAAAACGGAGTGCTTGATCCAAAAACATTTCTTCCAAAAACCAATCTTGAAAGTGCTTCAACGGGGAAGACCCGTCAAGTCGCGTAGTTCAAGTCACAGTCAAGTCCAGTCTCATGAAGACAAAGTCGAGTGGAGCTTATGATGAGTTGATGTTATCGAGTTTCAAGTCCCAATAATTAGCGACTTAAATCTGACTGGAGTCAAGTCATGCGATCGGAATGCCCGGCCTCTGATTCTTGAAGAAAGTGAAGAGCGAACGGTCGAGAGGAACATGGAGAATTTGCAGCAGATCCTTCAAGGTTGGGACTGATGTGTTGCAGGTTAACGAGATCTATCAGGATCAGTCCCTGGGCGCCAACATCAACGTTGTTCTGGTGCGAATCATCATGCTGTCTCCGTCCAAGGTAGCCCAACCCCCAACCCCCCCGACCCCCCGGTCC